ACACACACACACACAGAGTTTTGGGATTTTTTTTTTCTTCCAAACCTGCACCACATCGATACAAGCAAACCCACTTCCTCTGTTCAGTAGGCTAATTGAATTTGCAGCTGACTTTTAATTAAGCGCAGGGCTCATTTGCATAAAGTCGGACTATTTGCATATGGTGGGCAGCCCCACCCCCCTACATGTCTGAGTGCCTGGGGTGGGAACTGACATCGTAGAGAGAAATAAGGCGGGAGGAAGGGACGGATGGAGGAGGAGAAGGTGAGGTGTCTGCCAACAAAGGAGAAGGGAAACAGCAGATGGGGGGGGGGGGACAAATGGGGGCAAACAACAACTCATGCCACGTGACGAGGGAGTAAGCGAGGTAGACAACCACACACACAGTGACACACATGCACACACACACAAAAAAAACTAAACCAAATGTATGCACAACATGATCACCCGCGCGCATGCATGCACTCAGACAAGCCATCACACTGTCGCAGGCATCCCCACAGATTTTGCAATCAAGTTAGCTAATTAATAAATCAAAGAGGAAGAAAAATGACTCGATGCATGCTAAATAGTTATACTCATGTTACAAACAGGTGTTAATTGGTGGCACATTGGCTCCATGCAGATGAGCTGGGCGGACCTCGATAAGATATAGCAATGAGGTGGAATGCAACACATTTGTCGCCGAACATCCAGGCAGCACACAGAGGGGACACTCCAGCAGAGCTACAGCTCACGTGGAGCACTCATATTAACATCTGTCTGTCAAAGTTCACATATTAAAGACATAAAACTCAGCTCCTGGTTTAGCATTAAATATGGAAATTCACTTCCAAGTACTGCCCTGCCCAAATATACTGATACACTTATGTGACGGCCTCTTGCATATTCATGCAGTCACACATTAACCAGGATGAATATTCGTCAAAATGTTTCCTGTCTGGGGGGGAGGTGGGTCGCTGTGCTCCGATAGGGTCCCATCCATCACACTGTGCCAGGCCTGGCCAATAAGCACGCCCCTATATATTAATGCCCATCCCATAATGCCTAGAGTGGTGTGTCTGTCTATCTAGCAATAATGTGTTAAGGTGGATGATGTGCTTGAATCTGCAGTGCAATCTGGGAGCAGAGGGACAAAGCTGTTCAGGTTTCACCAAGCTTTAAAAACAGCTGGTACGATCCAATCTGGAGCATTTATACAATTCGATATACTCAGTGTGTAAAAACTTAATATGCATTGAAGCAGACAAACAGTATTGCCATGATCTGAATAACATAGAAGCCTGAACTACAACTCCACATGTGCTTGCAGACAAACACATCCCGTAAGCAAACACTGTGCCAACCAACACAGGTTCTTTCCCTGTCTGAGTTGCCCGACTTCATTAGTATCTAGACAGAATGCAGCTCATTAATGAATGTCATTAAGGCAGGCGGTGAAGCGCTGGGTGGCTGCCAACAGGACGACTGCTGGGTGGCATGTAGGGAGGGGACGAGCTGCGGCCAGTGTGAGTAGAGATGCAGCTGCTTCTCTCCCGGCTGTTCCCAGGGGAGATGGAAAGAGTTGGAGAAAAGGAGTATGAGAATGTCGGGGTCTCAACTTATGAGTTGAGGGTACGGGTTCGCTAGAGGGTTGTGGGGCCGCGGGTGTCGCAGGCGCGTGCCATCTTAGTACTGCGGAAGATGGGGGGGGGGGGGGGGGGGGAAGGCAGACGCCATTTTGGGGAGTGATGCAGCGAGTCGCCATTTTGAAGTGCTCTGCGTGGGGAAAAGGGGAATTGATAAAAAAAAGTCGGCCTCAGATAATGTAAACATGGAGAAGCTGATTGATGAGTGTCAGGTCATGTGACTGCATGAACTTTGTTGCGACAGTTTGACCTCAGATCTGCAACTGGTTCCCTTTGTTTCACCAACCTACAGCGACAGACAAAGAGCATTTAGCATTTATCAGTCAGCACACACAGACCGGATTTAACAAAGACACTTCAGACGAGAGGAAACATCCTGATTCTTTAGTTTCTATCTTAAATAATGGCGGCTATTCAACCTTAAGTAATCCCAAATGGAGTGAGGCTTTTGTCTCGTTCCTGTGCACAAGTCAGGCAAACACACACACAAATCTTTCAAACATTAAATCCACTAACAGAAGTAATTCACACTGTGACAATTAGATATGCTGTAATAAGCAACAATGGAACTATTTTGTCACAGAAAATGTGCATCCAAGGTGTCAACATCTCCAGTTTGGACTTCTACACTTGTATAAATCACCCCTGGGTGAATTCCATAAACATGAAAATCACAACAATTGTAGAGGTTTTTTCATCAGCGTGTTAACTCTGCTCCATTCTGCTGCTCCAGTACCTCAGCTCGCTGACGTCTGCACATCCTCACGCTGCTCCGCGGCCTCGTCTGGAGCTCAGGTCTCGTTTTCTCCCATCTCCCTAGCTAAAGGAAAACACTCACTTATGCATTCAAGTAATTAGTGCTAATCAGCCATGCACTGACCTAGCAGGCGGCCATATTGATTTCAGAGGCTAATCAAGGAAAAGCTTAATGACACGGCAATTAAAGTGCTCCAGTATATGAATTACACCTGCGATTAAATGCTATGGGGATGCGGCGCAGTAGAAAACAATCTTAAGTGTTGTTTTCTGCCGTGTATACAGTCAGAGGATATGAGCTGATGGATTTATGCGGTCTTGTTGATCTTAAGCTCCTCTGCAGGCTGGCTGTGTAAAATGTATTGACGAGAGGGAAAGAAAAATGTTCTGTATTGCAAAAAACTAAATAAAAACAATCAAAGAAAGTATATATTTACAACTTTAATCTTTATTTCTTTAAAATAAGATAAAAGGAAAAATTTGTTATTATCTTAATACAAGTACAAAAAATGCATCAGAACACAGAAGAATATACAGGACAGAGCATGACAGTGACAGCTTAGGGAATTATATATGGTTCAAACAGATCCTTGGTATATTATGGAAAATAGAGGAAAAGTGGACTGGTCAATTGAAAACTAGATTTCTTTTCCAGATAAACGAGGGAAAAGGGTTGAAAAATATCTAAATGTAGCTCGACTTGGCACCAACAAACCTGCTCTCTTTCCAGTTTCAGCCAACGTGCTAGCAAACATTCTCCAATAAATAAGGCACTATGATGGGCCCTAAAGCAGTAAAAGGTATGTGTGTGTGTGTGTGTGTTTGTGTGTGGGTGGGTAATCTGAAGAAGTGGCCCACAACTAAGGACAAACTTTCACATTTTATACCGTGCATAAATACTTTTTCATCTTAAATCACTCTTAAGATATTTCTATTAATAAACAATGACATTTATTATTGGGAATTTAAAAAAAGATGTCAAGGGCCTAACATCTATATTTAACATGACATGAACATTTAACAGCTAAAGCGAAACACAGCTTGTGACAAAAAAAAAAGATAAACTCAAACATACGATGTGCTTATTTGATAACCTTTTCTTGTTTGACTATGAGGAGAGAGCTGAATGACGCTGCATCACACAGACAGACCGGTGTGACTGTATGTGCGTCACGTGTTGGAAAAGTGCTGCCCGGCAACTTTTCCATCACGCTTGTCAATGACAGACTACGTAGTGATCAAGTGCAATAATGAATATCATCACTTCCCACATACGTTGATACAGCGGCGTGCATAAAGACAGAAAACGGTGCTTCTGTTAGGTATGAATTCTTATAAGCACTGCTAAAAAACATCAAACTTAAAGTAAAAGTGGACGAGATTAACATGTTACTGAGTAAGGCGATTCTGACGCTGACGGATATTGAGCGTCAGTCCGTTCTAGTTCGACAGATGCCTAATCTTTGGCACCCCAAGTAAAAACCGCAAAGGTTAACTGTAAGATCTGGAAGCAGGTAAAAATCAAGCTGCAGCACGTTACAAAGAATCAAACTTCTCCTTTGACAGCGGTAGTGAGAGGATAGAGTTTGTTAATGAGGCAATATACTGACATGAGCGGTCTGTTCGGCTGCCGAAAGTCATTGAAAATAAAGTCCCTCTGGCAGGCTTTTAAGTTTCTATCCCACCTGTGAGATGGGGGTGGATGGAGTGGAGGGCTGGAGTGGTGGGAAGACTGTCAATGAAGATTCAAAGTCTCATAGCAAATGAGTTACACCCAGTTGAGGTCAACTGCAGCGGGGGCAGGTGGCGTCTACATCTCGTGGGCGGCAAGATGATGTTCTGGGATACCGTTGGCATGAGCCACCACCGTGTTATTCTCATTGAGGCGCCTCACGCGATACATTTCGTAGTGGATGCTGCTGGTGATGTCCTTAATGTTCTGCATATGGGTCCTGAAAGAAACACACATATACACATCCATAAGAAACCAGCAGAACAGACAGACAAACTACACACTTATATACTCTATTTAAAGGTTAAAAAATTGTTACTTCACTTGGATGTTTGACCTTTTGAAATTTGATGCATGTGCAGAGTTAAGAGTTAGTGTTTTTTTTTTTTTTACATTCATCTGCCTCTGCGATTCATTTTAATTTGTTAATTAAAGAAAACTGTTATGGAAGCCAATCGTGGTCCAATAAGCAACTTACAGAGGTGTGACATGGAAACTTGAAACCTCCACTGCACATACACTGAGAGACATCTTTTGTCCAGCAGTTCAGATTTGTAATTAAAAATATTTGCTTATGCATTTGGATTTTGGATTCCTTAATGGGATTGAAAGAATAGATGCATTTCTTAGGAGGGTTATTCCACCATAAAAAACTTTATGGTGGAATAACCATACCAGATGCACATTAACATTCAGAGCAAAGCATTTTTAGATGTAATAATACATGTTTTAGAGGGGGGAAACACACACACACACACACACACACACAGTTACATGAAAAGAGACAGAGACATACTGATATGGAAACAAAATTCCCCTTACCTGATGAGGAGATCCCGTAAATAGGCAAACTCACAGTGGGCTATGTTCTCAACTAAAGGAGAGAGAGATGTTATGAGTCATCAGAAATATTAGTAATAGTAAAAAAAAAAAAAAAAGTACCAAAAGACAGACAGTATGATTGCTGGGAGCTATGTTTTGTTGCTATAAAGTTTCACGAAGGGTCCACTAGGTGGAGTCAGTGATCTTAGTGCGACGTCCCTGTAGACACAGAGATACTGTATGTTGTCTCAACACTCATTCACTACAATACAGATCTCTGTTGCTAAATTCATCTACATAGAGTCCTTCTGAAGAGATAAGAGACTATCTGCTCAAATAAATCCTGCCAGACGTACGTACGTATGCGTGTGTGTGTGTGTGTGTGTGTGTGTGTGTGTGTGTGTCTGCACAGCACACTCTGCAGGAAATGAAACTTCCTTAATGAGACACTTGATAGAGGGGTGGTGCCTCCTGTCTGGAGTGGATAACATAATTAAATATTGAAAGATGAATCCTGAAGTGAGAATGGATGTTAAGGAAACACTGTACTGGTACACTACTGGCCAACTGATAAAGCTGAATAACAATAACACAGCAAAACAAAACAACAACACAACCAACGATGAATAATCTATTAGGTTTTTTTTTTTTTACTAGATTTTATCAATTGGAACAAATGCAACTGCGCTGATAACGTTTCCCCCTCATCAACATATTTTATTTCCTGTGTGAGCGTCCACAGTGTATCCTTTGTGATCCAGATGTGTGGGGTGGGGGAACCAAGTACATAAATCAGGCCTCCTCAGACGGACTGTGTCTGCTGCAGGCCTGAGCCAGCTGCATGGCACACGGCACCAGTCTAAAAACTGAATGGAGCATTGTTTGATTGACTGACTGACTCGAGTAAGGTCTTTACCCATCTCCCTTTTGTCTTTTCTTCTCAACAAAACCACTTCCAGGTTGCGTGCACACTGACAGATTCTGTCCTGAACATATCTCTCAAAACAAATCTGAATAGAAAAACAGAAAATGGGGGAAAAAAAGGGACTGAAACTGAAGAAAAGAAAGGGATAGAGAGTTGTACCTTCAATGGTTCCCCACTTGGTTTTCCTCCCCAGCAGCCTCCTGCCATTGACCTGGTACTCCTGGTCGCTGCCCACCACAGCAAATGGGATCATCTCCTGCTCAAAAGGTTAAAAAGGTCAACAGACAACGGAGTCACAAATTATTCGAGTTAAGTACATTAAAAATGACTATGAATGGATTATGTCCTCGGTGCTCTGTTGAAAGGCATGTCTGAGCATAAATGAGGATAATGGAGTCCCAAGTGCTGCCGCATCTGTTAGGGCCAGTGCTTGGAAATGATCCTCTCACCCTGATCTTCTCGTTGATTATTCTGTCCTCGGCATCCTCGTCAAATTCTTTCTGAGGGTACACGTCGATCCCGTTGGCTCGCAGCTCTTCCCTGATCTGGTGGAGCGCGTGTTCAAACATAAAAAAGAGGAACAAAAACTTTTAACCCACTACAGTTTTTAAGAGGGTACACAGTAAGGCCTTTAATTGCAGGAGTAATTAGGCAGACGTGTTTGATGCAGTCTTGAGACATCAAACATGTGCACCTAAATCTGCGCAGTGTATAGATTAACATGGTATTTACACTAACCTGCCTTCTAATCTACTCCAAAAGTTGGGGCTTAGTCGTTAATTGCCCTCTGTGTACAAACAAAACAGAAACCTCGCAAGATGGATGCCTATGCATAAACCTGTGCACACACCCAGTCTGCCATGCACATATACAAACACACGCATGAGCGCACACACACACACATAGACCAGGGGGAGTTTATCCTCCTCGCTGCTAATGAGAGGAGGGGAAATCCTGAGATCCTTGAAGACGCTGCCAATAAAAACACACAAATGAACAACTGCAGCCTTATTAACTGTGTGGAGGAAGTGTAGAAAGTAAAGAGTGGAAAAGGAAGAGAGGGATGCTCTTGAGCGCTTGCTGGAATGTAGCCATGTTTTGTGACCATCCAGAGAGCGAGAAGAAGGGGACCACCGAAGAAAACCACAGGAACGTATCCTATCTCCGGTTACTGCACCACAAACATGAGAAAATACAAGCATGGAGAGAGAGACACAAAAAGAGGATGTTTCTGAACTATAGATGTGGATTTAATGGGAGGAAAAGGAGAAACTTGAGATAAAATAATACAGAAATCTATTGAACTAAAGAGGAGATGGAGCCAGAAAGATGTTACCTTCTTTTTGAAGAAGTCCCTCTCCTCCAGGGTGAGCGTGTCCGCCTTGGCAATGACTGGGACAATGTTGACCACCTTACTGAGACGTCTCATGAATTCTACATCAAGAGGCCGCAGACTGAGAAGGAGGAAAGAGACAACATAAGAGAGAGAGAGAGAGAGA